GCACCGTCTGCTTGCCCCGGATAAGTAATTAATGAGATTTTCATATCCTACTCTCTATTGCTTTTCCATTTTTTACAAGAAATGCTTTTTGCCAATATACATTATCCACAGCTCTAACATAAATTAACCTRAGTTTGTCCCTGACTCCTCTGAAAGCACTGTTATGGCCAGATTTCATGAGGCTTTTCCAGGTTCGTCCAAAAAAAGGAGCATACAGTAGTTTTACTCCTTTGGGTCCCAACATGGCTACAAAGATGCTGGGCTTTTAGAAGATGCAAGTGCTGCTCTGCGTTGCTCTGCACTAGCACTGGTAGGCAGACATTACCATTTCCAGAAGATTAAACTGGAGCAAAGAAAGGCTAAGGAAGCAGCCAGGATGGAGCAGGGGAACTATACTTTCTGCCTTTAAAAACAGTAATGAAAGCTTTCCATATAAAGCTTTTTTACTGCAGCGTTCTGCAGGGGGAAAAAAAAGGGTGAATTAGTCTTCTTTTGTGACACTCTGAATTTGCATTAAGTTTGTTGGGGCTGACAAACACCACCAGGTTTGGGTAGGGGACTAGCCAAGCTAGGGTCCCCCAGCTAGGGACTGCTACAGCTACAAACGCTTCTAAAGCTCATTAAAAACTCTGAATCATAGAGATGTATAAATACACCACCCTAAATTTAACATATTCCAGATTATCAGCATATGATCATGGCTATGTTCCCTGGCAACAAAAACATCCAGCTATTTGATAAACAGGTACATGCCAGTGTGTGTACATATATATACACATACATATATGTCTACTGCTCTCCTGATCTGGGCAGGGGACAAGAGTAACCTGTGAAAAAATGGGTTTCCCTTGTGCTCATATTGGTAAGCACATCACACAGCTTGTAATCACCAAGTCTGATATTCTACACCATCACACTGATTCTATGCAACGATATATCCAGTGCTCCAAAGGTGAAAGATCACACCTGCAAGTGCTCACAGCTGACCATCTCCCTGATTGCAAGTCAGTTTCCCCTCCATTCTCTTCGATTTTCTTTTCAATTGATTTACAAATGTTGGGGGGAAAGAGGTTTTGGTATGTCTGTAATAGAAATGCAATGCAGATGCTTGCTTAAAGCAATGAGAACCTTTGAAAGCAGAGATGGTTCCTACAAAATGGAACCACAGTGCATTTAATTTTCATCTATGTGCTATCTTATGTTCCTTTTTTTTTTTTTTTTTAAATCACCAGCATTCACCTCTTTGGTTACAATAAGAACGCCAGAAGCTGAAACTGGTGAGACTGACCACAGTTTGTAGAAGGATCCTCAAATTGTGTACATTTCTATAGCTCTTGTCAAAGTCAACATGCCACTGGAAACTTTAGTCTATGAAATCCAGTCTTCTGTCATTGTAACCTGCCTTTGGCTTTGTTTTCAGTTTTTTCTTCCAATATTTAAGTTTTCTATTTAATTACGGAGAGTAGAAAATACAGAAGTTCTACAGCTGTTGGAGAGACAAATTTCAAATGCAAGAAAGTAAAGAAGGCTGAACAGCTTGTGAAGATAGTCAGAATACTGAAGTATCCAGCATGGCCATATCTGTTTMTGGGGCAGAGGAGAGCAGACAGGTAATTCAGTCACTTCCAGATTTCTTGGTTCCTTGCTTAGTTTTAGTGGCCATTATTTTGTGGATTTCCTTTTCTACATGCTAATAAAAAGCAAAGGATTTATGCAAAAGTGTTACCCTAAGTGTCTTGCAAACATTACAGCAAATAAGAAGAAAATACCTTCATGATTTGTAGAAAGTCATAAACAATTAAGGTCTGTATAACTTGCCATTTGCATGGCTATATTTCAGACAAATTAATGCTAATGACAAAGGGAATTCATTTTGMAGTCAAACTTGTAATTAATTTTGATGCCTAAACAGAAATGGCATGGAATGTTTGGGTAGAATAGTTCGTGTCAKAGCTGAAAGTGCAGTCAAGAGTGTTCCAGCTTCAGTCCTGTGCTTACTATAAAATGAGTACAGAGAAAAAAATTATCTCACCTTCAATAAACCCATGCCTATCCATATCAGCACAGTAGGTTGGAGAATATATCTAAGCAATATGTCTCTGGCTTCAGGGGACAATGCAGTGTCTTCTCCCTGCACAAACCCATTCTGTAGGTGATTTCATCATTGTAGTGTTCATATGTCATTCAAGGATCCCAGCTRCTAGGACAACCAATAGACAACAGCCAAAACCTGTTTATCGGATAGAGGTGTATCACCAGTAGAAGTTAAACCTTCCCCAACTGTCTATAGAAAATAGCACCCAGTTTTGAAGTGCATTGATGCATCAGTTAAGCATCAAGTTACATACTGTCAGTTCTCACACCAAGCCTCCCACTAAATTGAGATCTATCCCTTAATTCAAGAACTACCTCCAAGCAGACATTTACTTAGCCAAATTTAATAYATAGTCTTTCAAGAAGCATATATATTTCCCTTTTGTTGGTCAGTAACCAGAAAAATTGCCACTATTAAGCTAAAACTTTTCATTGCTTAATGACCAATTTTTTACAATGAGCTAAATTTTTGCTGTAAGACATCTCTGAAAATGTCTTTCACAGCAAGTGAAAGTGAGCTGATGAACAGCTCTTGCTTTCAGACAACTTTGGAGAATTCACCTCAGACCCTGGACTATTTCTGTTGTAGCACATGTTAGGCCAGATTGTGATTCCCAGCCACAATAGTGGTATGTGCATGATAATGCAAACTGCTATGCCAAAGTAGACATTCTACTGGTTTCGAAATGAGTTATTTCAGATTCATATAAATGGAAGTCAAACATAATTGAGGCTAAGTATCTTAAATTAATGATGTGTGGCATGGTCAGAATGCAGTAGTCTCCTGCAAAAACACTTCTAGAAATTCCCAGGGCTTACTAGGCACATAGTGCTAAAAAAAAAAATAGGTTGATTACTTCCATATCTCTTTTCAGAGTACAGGTTAATAAAAGAAAAAGGAATAAATTGCTACAAAATCCCTGAAACAYAAAACTACATAATTACTACACACCATGTAGAAAAGCATTGTTTCGTATATTTTATCTCACGAATTATCACAACTCCCATTTACAAGTGTTCTTTTAAACTGTAAGAATCCATCCATCCACAATTGAAGTATTCTTGAAGATTAAGATTAATGTGTCATGAATCACCACRGTTTAATATGCATGGCACAGTTTCATTTCACACACATTCTGCATGGGTTGATTGCCATATATACCAATATCAAACAGATGTTAATTCTTTATTTTTTTTTTCTCTCAAAGTATGTTTTAATTATCTATGAGGCTTCATAAAGAAAAAGAGGGAGGTAATTTTGAAGCAGATTTAATGAAAAATATAAAAGAAAAATCCATTAGATATTTTATTTCATGTTCTCAACAATATAATTTTAATATTAAAAAGAAATACTTGCTATGCAAAGGAACTGCTGACTGCTCTCATTAAATGGCTCATTTCTTGTTGTAAGCAAGAAAACTTTGATTCTTTTTCTAATAAAATGCATGATTTTAAAAGCCCTGCCAACTGAACATGAGTTTGGTGATATTAAATGTTTCTGCAAGTCATTGTATGTTTATACTATGCCTAAATTTTTAAATTTGAGTACTTTGCAAAGAAATCAAAATTCCATGTAAAACATAAATTCTCACAACAGTGCCATAGGTCCCATGTACCATCTAAACGAAAAAGTCTTTGAACATAAAATATTTCACAAGCCTCCATGGTACAGAGGCCAGAAATGGACATGAAAAGATATCCTAGGTTAAAAGTAATGTATAATGAGAAGGCTGTTCCAGTCAGCGTCAGTTCCCACTTTCTGCTGTGTCAGATGCAAGCCACAATTCTCCAGGATCAGAACAGCAGCAGAGCTACAGGTCAGGATGGAATAGAGTTGGATAAAACTCTGAGCTTTAACTAATTCCCAATTTGATAGGAGTTCTTAGTGTAATTTCCATGGAAGTTAGAGCATGTCTCTAGCTTTGGGCCTGAGCTACCTGAAATCTACAGGAACAGGAATGGCTCCCAGGGATTTTGYGCAAGGATTAGTTTCACCAAGCTGAAACAGTCTCCAGGTTGAAAATTTCAATTACTAAAACTGTTACAAATAATAACAGCAGTAAGAGTTTGCATTTGTTACATACATGTGAATGTTAGATAGTATGAATACAGATAAACAACAACAGGAGATAAAATATTGCCAAAACTAAGATACTGAGCCCCTGCCCATGTTACAGAGATTTCTCTGTACACAGCAGTATTTTCAACACCACAAAAATTATTTAAATTTCTTTCCTATGTTACACATACTGACATAAGCTGGCATACAGCTTTAAAATCAAAATGTGAACTGACATTTTGAAAAATAACTGACAGTCATGGCACAAGAGTGCAGTAGCCTCTGTCCTCCAACATTCTCTTCTTCTGTATTTTTTTTCCAAATGCCCAAATAAATGCAAGGTGCCCAGAAACAAAATGCGTATTACCAGTGAAACCTAATTCCAAGAAGTCAAATGACAGCATTTTCACAGAATATACTGGGCCAAGGAATGAATCTAAAATATGGAATTTACACACATCACACAAAACACTTGCGCAGATTTCTGAAAACATGCACCCATCGCATTGCAGGGAATTAAGCCTGCATTCCTTGTTCAACCAAAATTCCCTGACTGGAATAACAACTTTAGATGTTATTTTTGTTCACATTCTGTTTTACTATGTTAAATCACCAGATTTTTTTTCTTTTTACTTAAGATAAATGTGTGAAAGTGCCTTCTTTCCATTCATAGATGTTATCTTCCTCAAACTTCAAATGATTCATCTGGGTGAATGTAGTTATAAATAATTTATCAAGATACATGCCAGTTGTTAGGGAAAAAAAAMCCCCGAAGGAAGAATATCACTGCATAAAATCTGAACATTAAAATAAATTTTAAAAATCAATCCTTAATTGGTTTTATTACCTCCTAATCCAGGTCTGAGGCGATTATCATAACCATCCAGAAGTCTGTCTAGAATTCTTGTAAAGATGGTGATGTTATTCTTAGCTTCATCTTCCAGGGAGTCAGCCAGCACTGATCTAAATAGATATTTTACATTTTAGAAGGTGCTAAATATGTTTTAACACACACTCAACATGCATTTTTTTCAGGCTGGCCTTTAACTTGCTGCATTCTAACAGCAAGGGTGTATTTAACAGTGTACAAATACACAATTTATATGTAACAGGTTCAGATATATAAAAGTCAACAGCAGAGTATTTAAAATACCCAGGAAATCATTTTCCAGTAGCCTCTACTTCTATTTATCATTGCATTACTGTGAGTGCTACTTCAAGCTCCACTAACACAATTGGCTGTGCTGGTGCAAAACCCTCAAAGAGCTTCCCAGGCCTTGATGGCATGTCACTCCCAGACTGAAAACCCGGGATCCCATGCACAAGCCCATCTCCTTCCAGATCTGTCTTATCTGTCCTCACCTAGGTATACTCTATCTCTGGATGAATCCTGTGGATTTGCTTCCACCCAATGGTCATGTAATGTACATGACCAGGAGAACCAACATGAGGGAAAACTCCAGCGATCATGCTCAGGGAGTCCTCTGACGCCAGCACTTGGTGGGAGGGAACACCAATGCTGACTAGCAAGCTGCCGGATAGCTGTGGGCAGCCTTCTTCTTCCTAAAACAATATTTTCTCATAAAAAGCACTATCGGATAGCCCTCTAGATGCAGATAAACCTTGTTTGTCTATAAAAGTTGGATAGGAAAAGTAATCAAGAAGAATCTATAGATCACCGATTGTTTCAAACTTCTCCAATAAAGAAAGAGACATTACAGGCTTTATGGATCAAATCTCTGTGGAACACTCTAGGGGCTGGAATATAAACCTGCTGCCCAGACAGCTGTGGTGCTCCACAGTCCTCCAGGACCTGGGCACCCAGACCAGAAGGGTTTGTGCCCGGGAAACCCTCATCTGCAGAAAGCCTTACACATGTAAATGTTCCTGTGCCAACAATTTCAAGCTCTATGCATGTGAAGCACATGAGCTCATCAGTCTACATGAGCTCTTATCTACTTAATACCAGCMTACTGGAATCAAGGAAGTAAAGCATGATATGCTACACACATTACCATCTATATCTTTTTCAGCCACCTACATTTTTAACCTTAAATGTTTGAGTATTAATCCTCTTGAAATGAAGGCATTCTGAATGCCGTAATAGCAAGCATGTTTTCCTTCTTCTCCAAATCAAAAGTAGGTTTCGGTAACATTTTCTCTAAAGCAAGTTATAAAATGATTAAAGACAAGGCTTTATATCGATCCCCAGTACAAGAGCATGAAGGAAGTATTTAAATGTAAATCATTGCAGTCTGTGCTTTCCATCATATAAACCATAGAATTGACCCAAATCAGATAACTTATAAAGAACACATCAAAATGTTACGTGTGATTTTACTCATGTGTCAGTTTTTTCTTAATTGTAATTACTGGATGGTTCATTTTTTGTTTGCAAAATGTATAATTGTACTCATGGTAGCAATTGTACTCATCTCTGCCATTTTTAAGCTTCCTTTTGAGATACCACAGTTTTTGAACTCAAGATTCTACTAAAAAATTACATCAATAAAAATTATATCAAATTAGAGTCAAATCCTGCAAACTTTACTCAGGCATAAAGTCCTTAATAACGCATGTAGTCTCTTTGACGTCAGTAAGATTACTCACTTGAGTAGGGTTTGCAGGATCTGGCCCACTGTGACTCAACTAATACTGCACCACAGTTAGGTATGAAGTGAAATAGAAAACATAGTTTCAGGAAATATTTTGTTTGCTGGGTAACAAACAAAAATAATTGCAGACTTGTTAAATATTAGGAAACTTGCATTATTTAGCATACAATCCTTACCATATTAGGACAATACCTACTGCAGCCAGAACTAAAGTRAGTAAATCAAAGTTACAAACTATAATTAATTACATGTTTAGGGGCTGTGAGCAAGACAAAAGTATAACRTAATAAAAATTACTTCCTCTAATGCTGTCACTTTAGAAATGGAGAACTTTAAACAACACAAGAAAAGTTGATTAATAAATTATGCTATTGTTTTATTATATGTGATTGTGAAGTTGTATGCTATCTCCACCTAGAGGTTTAAAGCTTAAGTATCCTTTGAATTCTATTATGTTTGACCAAAAAAAAAAAAAAAAAAAAAAAAA